ATTTATATCTTAAAAATACAAATTAAATAAATTTATGTTAAAAATAAAATTTATTTTTATAACTTTTTATATAAACTAATAATTTAAAAGTTCACTATAATAAATGATACAAGTTTAAAAACCTTTAAATTATTAGATACAAATACAACTGAGTGGGAGCTGTTATCTTTTCTTTAATAATTCCTGTTTTGAAAGTAAAACGGAGCACTCTAATCAAAATTGAATCATAAAAAATGGGGAGAAGAAGCCTTGAACCACGATAAAAGGAACAAAAAGAGCCCATAAAAAAAAAAAAAAACCAATCTAGAGCTCGTTATCGATAAATAAGATATTTTATTGGGCCTGACCAAAGAAAATTGGGCCTTACAAGACTATTACCTCGTGGGCTCCAAATAGAGAAAACAGAACAAACCCTATAACATTGTAGTATTAAGGTATACGAAGCATAAAATTTTTCGCACGAACCTCTTGAGAAATATTCGTTGCATTTAAGTACCTTGGCTTCAGGTGTAGCTCCATTAGCTTCTTGAATCCTGGTTCCGACCCCAAAAGCTGCCACGATGCAAGGAGGACCTTCCGGCATCGGCTACGGTCTCAAGTATCAGGTCAACTCAAACCGCCTCAATTCAACTGATATTGCGACTTACTGAATCGAAATGGATCTTAAATCCTAATTCTTGCTCGCAGGCTAGATGCATTTCCGACGTCCAAGCAGATACGGATCACACCAGCTTCATCACCGGAACTCTCAGCCTCAAAGAAGAAAATGAGGTTCTGCCTGTTCTTGACTTGATTTCGATCTTTGTTGCTGAATAGGAGTGCTGAATTTTGGTAATTAAAACTCGATGTGTTGGAATCTACCAGGTGCATTTGATTCGACTCTCTTCAGGTGGAACGGAGCTTGTTTGCGAGGGCTTGTTTTCGCATCCTAACGAGATCTGGGACCTTGCTTCATGTCCCTTCGATCAGCGCATATTCTCCACCGTTTTCTTCACTGGTAACTGATTGATCCCGATTTATGCTGTTTTTGATGTTTGTTCTGACGTTCAATCATAAATGTTGATTCTAGTTGAATTGATCTTTGGACATTGTTAATTTTTTGTTAGAACCTGTTTAGTTCTATGTTAATATTCATTTGCTTGATATTTGGTGTCGTGAAATTTGAATTGCATAAGATGTTTAGTGGTTTTGACAATTTTACAGCTTCATTAGATCTTTAACCACTAGAAACAGCAGAATTGTTTCAAAACTTTGATTGTATGCTGATGCATTTTTAATAGAATAGAATTTCTGTAAAAGAAATGCTATTGCAAATGTTGAATTTAGTCTTTGTAAGTGTGTTTCCTAGTTTCTGGTTATTATTCCTCCTTTTAGAAACAGATTTTGTACCAATCAGTTATTTTCCATATTTTATCAATTTATGTACGTTAGTTATTTACTACATGTAGTAATACCAGTTTAGTCTTTAGTTACGGCTTTGTGGTGTATGAAACTCAGTGGCATAAAAAGAATAAGGGTCGTTAACACATTCTCCACTATGAAGGTGAATCATATGGCGCAGCAGTATGGCAGATCCCTGAGTTATATGGTCAGTTGAATTCACCCCAGTTGGAATGCATTGCCCCCCTAGATGCACATGTTGGTAAGATTAATTGGTGAGTTTATTTGTCTCACTTTTGTGGATGATTGTTCCTTTCTATTTTGAACTTTTTCTTCAAGTCATTTCAAACTAATGGACCTGCCATTTCCTTCTAGGCCTTTTTCTTCTTCTCTAATGTAAGTCACTTATAGTTCATGCATATGATCAACAGTGTTCTTTGGTGGCCATCTGGAAGACATGATAAGCTGATCAGCATTGATGAAGAAAACATTGTGTTATGGAGTTTAGATTGTTCAAAAAAATCTGCCCGGGTTGGTTACCAGTGGAAGGATTACTTCGTCTTTTGAAATGATGCTAAATTTCACATGATTTATGTTCAAATATATGGAATCATTTTCTACATGCCAATGATAATTGCTATTTTAGCAAAACCTTTAACCTTCTAATGTGCCTGTGCTAATTCATTTTTAGATCTTATTTTGGTAATTTAGGTACATTCTAAGGAGTCAGCAGGTATGCTGCATTACTTATCTGGTGGAGCATGGGATCCGCATGATGTAAATGCTGTTGCTGCAACCTGTGAATCATCAATACAATTTTGGGATTTGCGGACAATGAAGTATGTTGTGTTTTTTATGTTCTTTGCTTCTTTATTTGTAAATCTCAGTCAGTCCCTATATCCAGACCGGAAAAAATGAATAGATTGCCATCAAAAGTAAGCATTCAGATGATTTAATGTTTGCTTTTCCCCATTGATCTCTAAATATTTTTATTCAAGTTACTTTGTAGTACCGAGTTGATTTCAAGAGTAGCTGTTCTTATTTCTCCTACAATTATTTTAGGTAAAAGTGCATTTTCAACCAGTTAGTTTTTGTTACTCAATCTATAGGTATTTTGTAACTACAGAACTCTACCTGCTTTTCAATCAAGAGCATGTTGGTCTTTCTTGGGTTAATAAAGGCTTTTTGGATGTTGCTACACTATTTGATCTATGCATTTAAGTTAGCTTGAGATTCTGCTGTGGCTAATGAGAAACTTTACACAATTACAGGAAGGCAAATTCAATTGAGCATTCGCATGTTCGCTGTGCTAATTATGACACTAAGAAAAAGCATATACTTGTAAGGATAATGATATTTCTACTATCTTACTATTATAACATTGTTTTTGAAATTAGTGGCAGTAATAACTTTTCACATCTCTAAATTAGTATTCTGGGAATTAATACTTGTCAGCAATTCAACATGATAACTTTGAAAAGTTATTACAGGTTTTTTTTTAACATAACTTTGTTTTTGCAGGTCACTGCAGAAGACGAATCTGGGATATGCATATGGGACCTTAGAATGTCAAAAGTTCCCATCCAGGAGCTTCCTGGACATACACACTGGTAAGGACATGTCTAGTCATTTGGCCCACATTTATGCTTGATGAAACTTTTTCTTAATATTAAATTGCTTCCACTCATTTATGTTGTAAACTTTTTTGCATTTAAGTTTGATAATGTTTAGGTACTTCTGGTTTTCTGATTTACCGTGTGATGATCTTGGCAGGACATGGGCTGTTACCTGTAACCCTGAGCACGATGGACTGATTCTGGTTCTCTCTCTCTATCCTTCCCAAACACCACTCTCACTTTTCCCAACTCTTCCAGCCCCCAAAGAAAAAGCAATAGAGAATGAGAAAAAAAAAATTGTAGTGATGTGCATCCATATTGGTTGTGTGCATTTTATTTGGAATGTGATATGGCAACATGTTCAAAATAAATTTGATTAAACATCCATTTCAGCTATGTTCTCGTTTTGGCTTCATAATAGATCTGAGGTTGTACTAGACTAGCTACAAGTCCTTATCTGAATATGCCTAACCAATATGGCGGATGAATAAATACCATTCTATTTTACAAGTTACAACCATATCTCTCTGGATGTTGGTGTCATTAATAAGCCACAAAAATAATTTTTGTTTTTAATTTTTTTGAAATATCTTGACAAGTGGTAGGTTACTGCAGAGTGCTGGTACAGACTCAACTGTTAACTTGTGGTTGGCTTCAACATCCAGGAGTGACAAGTTAACTTCTGATAGGTGATTCTGCAATCTCTTTTTCTCTGAGAAATTGCTTTTACACTCTTCTATCTTTGATCCTTGCTGATACTTTTCCTTTACTATTAACAGCCCGGTTGAATCACGTAGCCAACAGTTTGATCCATTGCTTAATTCATACAGTGATTATGAAGACAGTGTATATGGTAATCAATGCAATCCTTTTGGTTTTTCATGTGCTGTAAATCTTAACCTCACCAGTTGGAAACCAAAACCACAGGTCTTGCTTGGAGTTCTCGTGAGCCTTGGATATTTGCTTCCTTATCTTATGATGGAAGGGTAAGAACACTAGTGTATACACTTTTTTTTTCCCAAATAAGAGGCAACTCTCTCTCATTTCTTTACTGACCCCATATGCATGCTGTTAAACCCTAGACAAGTGAGCATTTACATTGAGCCACTTAAGTCGTTAGCAACCTTAATATATAGATGTACCACATTTCCCAGTGCTGGCTTTCCAACTTTGTTATTTTCATTTGGTATTGGTTGTTGTTAAGTCAATTTGATTTATTCTTTCCATGCTATGCAGGTAGTCGTAGAATCAATCAAACCCATCCTATCCAGAAAATAAATAATCAACTCATTGGCGTTGTCCCTTCTGGAAAATCTCTGGTCGCACACCAACGACAGAGGTGACACATCTAACTCGTGTGAACCTGTAGAACCCGCAGTTGATACGTACAGGCAGCTGAAACAGGAATATTCAGGGTGCTACACCTCAAAGATTGATTACATGCCCTTTCCAATTTATTGCAAGCACACCATTCTTTTCCCTTGATATTGTGCTTATTGTCTGTCATATTGTATTGAAGTCTGTTGAGGACTTTACCGTAGGAAAACGTCTTTTTTTTTTATGACTAGTTTTCCTTTTGCGTTATGAAAGGCAAGTTAGTGTTCTGAGTTCTCAGCTGGAAAGTGCAAAAGCGAGCAATATGAAACACAAAGCCCGCATCACAATTACTTTTGTTAGTACACGAAACTTTCTGAAGTGGACGTTGAGCTTATCCAAACACCCAGGAACATGAGTCAGATCGCAAATCTGCTGGTTTCCTCGTCCAGAGGCAGAGATCCACGTCCTCTGCTTGTTCTGATTTTGCTTCACACGTGGCAAACTAGTCACCATGAAAGTCCTGCCACGTATTTCCAGACACCTAAGCCACCACGCTCTAAGCTTATCCGAATTTCACCATATGATCGTAAACAAGGGTGTCGCCATGTCATCAACACGTTGGTTTTGACACGTAGCGAAAGCAGGTTAGCCTGGAAAATTTGGCAGCCGTCGCAATGGTGTGTCGAGTGTCAACGCTGCTAGGATAAGGTGGCGACCCAAGAGGCCAAGAGGCCAAGAGGAGATTTAGCTTTCCAACATGGACAGAAGTTTCCCTTTCAAAATATGTCGTGTCAGCACCTAGAAATTTCCAAGTCATAATCCCGAAGATTTTCATACAGAAAATTATT